AAAACCATAGTCCAGTGTCACACCAAGGGTGCTCTTTTAGTACTACACTCTTTCCCTTGTTCTCTCACTGCTCCTTAAGCTCTGACCACCACTCATCTCTTCTCTGTTTTTCCAAGTCTGTCATTTCAGGAATATTATTCAGTGGAATTGTATAGGATGTAACTTTTCAAATTATTCACTCAGCAAATTCCCTGGAGGTTAGCTCATGCTGTGTGTATTAGTGGTTTCTTCCTTCTTATTACTAAATAATAATTGATGTTATGGTTGTACGCTGTTTAATGATTTATCCATTGAAATACATCTAGTTTCTGGACATTAAGAACAATGCTTTTATAAATGTGTAGGATTTTTGGTGAATACACATCTTCATTTCTCTGGCATAAATGTCAGGTGTACAGTAATATGATATTTCCATAGTTAGTTTCTTAAGAAACTATTACTGTATTTTCCAGAGTGACTGTACTATTTTACATGACCACCAGCATTACATGACTGATCATCTTTCCACATCCTCACCAGTATGTGGGATTACCACTGTTTTAAATTTTAGCTATTCTGAGAGATGTGTGCTGACAGCTCAGTGTGGTATTGAGTTTCTCTGAAAGCATCTTTTCCTGTGCTTATTGCCATCTGTATATCTTCTTCAGTAAACTGTCTCTTCATCTATTTTGCCAGACGAATTGGATTGTTTGTTCTTTCATTGTAGATTTTGAGACTTTTTCATATATTCTACATACTGATCCTTTACTGAATTTAATATAATTTGCAGAAATTTTCCCTAGTCTGTTACTTGTCTTTTCATGCTCTTAATATCTTTTGCAGAGCAAAAGAAATTTGGTTTTTATGAGGTCAAGCTTATAGTTTTCCTTTTATGGATCATGCTTTTTATGTCAAGTCCAACAACTTTTCTAGACTTGGAAGATTTTCTCTTCAGTTTTTAAAAATTGAAAGATAATTCATATGCCATTATATTTACTCTCCATCAAAACATACAATTCATTCAATTCAGTGATCTTAAGTACATTTACAATATTGTATAACTACCACTTCTGTCTAGTTCCAGGAATTTTTCAAAATCCCAAATGAGAATCCTGTCTCTACTCCCCAGTTGCTTTCCCTCTGCATCACCTGGCAACCAATAATCTGCTTTCAGTCTCTATGGACTTGCCTATTCTGGACATTTAATATAAATGTAATTTTAAAAATGTGGGCTTTTGTGACTGGCTTCTTTAAGCATAATCTTTTCAGGGTTCGTTCATGTTGTAGCATGAATCAATACTCAAGTCCTTTTTCTGGCTAGTGAAGGGACATACCATATTTTCCTTCGCCTTCATCAGCTGATGGACATTTGGGTTGTTTTTATTATTACAAAAAATGTTGCTGTATTTTCTGTGGACGTATGTTTTCAGTTTACCTGGTTATATACCTGGGAGTAGAATCGCTTGATCATGTGGTAATTCTGTGTTTGTCATTGGTGGAACTGCCAGATTGTTTTCTGAAGTGCTAGTACCATTTTACTCTTCTACCATTAATGTATGGGATTTCTTTGTGTACTCTTTTCTCTTATTTTTTTTTAACTTTAAAGTTGTTACATGTTACATTTAAGTGTATGCGTCATTTTTAGTTAAAATTTTTAATAAAATATGAGACTTAAGAAGTTCTTTTATTTTAAACCCAAGAATATCTAATTGTTCCAACACCATTTGTTAAAAATACCATTTTTCCATTGGATTGCTTTTGTACCTTTATCAAAATTCAATATTGTGTATTTATATGGGTCTATATCTTGGCCCTCCATTCTGTCCCGTTGATCTGTGTGTTCTGTTTCACTGCCAATACCTCACAGTCTCAAGTGCTTTAGCTAAATAGCAAGTCTTGCAACAGGTAAATAATTCTTCTCTATTCTTCTTTTGCAAAACTATTTGAGTTATTCTATATCTTTTTCTTCCCCTTATATACATTTAAGAATAATCTTCTGTAATCTACACAAAATCTTGAGATTTTTGATTAGAAATCACATTAAACTTACATGCAGCTTTGGGGAGAATTGACATCCTTTGGTTAGAGAGAGCTGACTTTAGTTGGGCTCTATTTTGCCTGCCTGCAGGGATGTTTCCAGGCTGTTGGCTTCTGTTGCTGGGATGTAGATGAGGCAAGAAGAGCACCCAGGGAAGTCCTCCACCATGTTATTGCTTAGGTCCTAAAGTCCCTCGATGGTCTACCTTCTTCTTCCCAACTTAGAATATTTGTTTTGTATGCCATTATATTTAAAGAGTTTTTAGTGTACTTAGCAGGAAAAATAGGGAAAAGTACGTCCACTCCATCTTTCCAGAAGTACAAGTTGCATCTTCATTTTTAACAGTAGAGATCATTTCATATGAGTAAAGTACACAATTAAATTTTTATTTAAATTATTGAATTGTGTTTCATTTTATGGGCATACCATAAACTTTTAAAAACTAATCCCCTACTGATGAGTATTTAGGCTTTTTTTTTTTTTCAGTCTTTTGCTGTTAAAAATAGTGCTTCTGTGAACAACTTCATCATATGGATCAGTTTGCATGCATGCCTGTGCATTAGGCTGAAAGATAACTTCATGGGAGTTTTAGAATTGTTGGGTCAAAGGGTATGTGCATTTTACATTTTGATAGCTGATAACGAGTGATCTTCCATGGAGATTGAATTACCTTGAATGTTAGGTAGGACTTCTGGTCGTGTGAGACAAAGCCCCAAAGAAGGATATTTTGAAGTACTAGGTCTCAGTATGCAACTCTGAAGTTATCTATCAGGTCCCATATAGATACAATTTTTATGTACAGTTTAAAATAGAAGGAAAGTATGTATTGTGATCTGTAATCAAATTTTGGATTGTTGCTGTGTACAGTTTGTTTGCTACCAGGTTTTATAATATCTCACTCTACTCAAGTAAACATGTTTTCCTCACACAATTTTTCTGTGGATGTTAAATTCTCATTTGGGTCTGAATTATACTCTGTGGCTGATCAATGAAGCAATTTCTCTGAACTCAACACATCATTCAAATGTACAAACATTTCTTTAGGTTTCAGTAAAAAACTTGTTCACTCGTTTACTAATATAATTTTCAGCCCAAGATTATCCAAGGGATTTTTCTCTTTTTCTGATTAAATCAAGAGTAATGGATAAGGTATCAACTTTATCATTTTGATTATGATCCTTGCTGTTTCTATATTATGCATACTTAGGTTTGCTTTCTTTTGCTTAAGTGTCCATGTTGTTGTGTATGTCAGTAGTTCATTCCTTTTTATTGCTATATAGTATTCCATTATATGAGTAGACCACAATTTGTTTTATTCTTCTGCAGGATAAATTGTTTCTAGCTTTTGATTATTATGAATAGAGTTGCTGTGTACATTTTTGTACATGCGTTTGGTGGATGTGTATCTTGCTATCTCTATCAATATTTTTAATCAGAACCATTTTAATTCTATAAAATTATCTGGTGAATATATTCCTTACCTTGTTTATTAGCCTTTATTTACCTTTTTCCTAAGTTAATAATCTAAAATTTATTTAAGTTAGAAGGCTTTGCTTTATTATTCAAGTAGTTTTGGATCATTAAAGTAGTTATGACAAATTAATGACAGCTATTCGGTATATAATTGTTGGAGGGTAAATTAGATGTGGTATGTGACCTTTTATCTGCAGAGACTTCTGTTGGATTGTCTTAACCCTCAAAGTTGATATTTGGCTCCGTTTTTTAAAAATATCTTTATTTTACATTTATGTGGTGCTGGGGATCGAACCCAGTGCCTCATACATGCTAGGCGAGCACTCTGCCACTGAGCCACAACCCCAGCCCCTTGGCCCTGTTTTTGATAAAGTCTTTGGTAGAAGGTAACCATAGTTTCCAACTCCAGTGCTTCCAGCTCCCATTCCAGTCTTTGAAGGATCACCTGTGGAACTGTCACCACTGGCTCATCATGTGACCCTGTGCTGCTGCTGCTAGGATGTATTAACAGTTTAATGGAGTGAAGACATCAGCTAAATTTGTTACAATGGCTACTAACTGTGATGACTATATATTATGGTATACGTGTGAATGTCTTTTTTTCACATGGAGTTATATGCAGTCAATCACAGTTAGTTACAGTTAGTAGTGGTAATTAACTTTCTTTAGTCAATTTGTCTGCTATAATTTGGGAATATTTCTCAGTGACAGAGATTTTCCTTCCATAGTTTCTGTCATTAGTGACATTGACATATCTGAATGGTAACATAAAAGTTAGCATATAACATTTCTTTTGCTATACTACTTGTTAAAATCATGGTTAATCAGTATAATTTTTGAATTAAGATAATACTGGCATGTTCCATAATAATATTAGAATATTCCATTTCATTATTTTCTGAGACATTTAAGATATGTAGCATAATAAATACATTTCCCTCCTCCAACTTTGGAAAAAAGTTACCAAGCACCATTTACATATAATTAATTTAACATGATTTCCTTTTTTTAAAAAAAGTGATATTTTTCTTTCAGAAATGTTCTATTTTGACAATCTCAGATTTATAGAAGATTTAAAACAGTAGTGAAAAGATTTCCTAAGAAACATTCTCCGAATGTTACTATTTTGTTGACTTGTTTTTTTCTCTTCTTCTCCATTTCTTGATAAGTATAGGTACATAACAGTTTTTATCTCTGAACCATTTGCAACATGCACACAATGTCATTTTATTCCTAAATACTCACATTTTCTAAAAATGAGAAATTATCTTCTATAACTATGGTGCAATGATCAAAATAGGATAACTATATTATGAATATTTACTCTACAAATCTTATTCATAATTTGCAAGTTATTTCAACAATTGTCTTTGAACCAAAATAAATCCAATTTTGGGAATGTAAAAAAAAGTGATATTTTCCTTGTATTTAAAATGTAAAAATTTTCCTGTTTTTTTCTTTCTGTGCTCAAAAATCCACTGTGGGTGATATCGTTTTTGCTGATATACAGCTTTATCAGGTATGACTCTTTAAGTGTCATGTTGGGATTTACAGATGTGTTGTTGAACTTTTCAAAGGAAAAACTTTCCACATTGACTCTCCTACATATATTTGAACAGTATTTATAAATGTCTTATGAGTGTTACTGAGCTTTAAGGTTCACAATGGTCTTTGTATTAAAAACAAGTTTGCCAAAGAGAAATTCAAAGAGTGTTCAGAGTGTTTTCTTTAAAAATATTTCTGTTGTTTGTCTTTGACTTTCTGTATTATTAATATGTATAACCCTCTGTGTTTTCTTGTCTATATGTGTAAGAGTTTGTGTACACATGTATGTCATTCTTAACATATATATGTTTTTAAAAACAGATACATAACCAGTGCCTTCCTACCTATGATACATATTTCTCCCCAGGCTTTCTTCAAACTGTTTCTCTTAATATATGTTAATATAAGATACTCAGTAGAGTGGCACAAAAAGTATTTTCAAATAAGTACACTATATCCATCCTTGAGAGATTCACAGTATACTTTAGCATATCAAAGATTCTGGTTTTATGCAATAAAAAATTATCTATTTTCTGTCTCAGCATCTAGAATATTTGAGTGTGGAACCCTTTCTGATACGTAGGGGTGGGCCGAGCACACCGAGTTGGGAAATGCTGCAAAAATCATGAGTAAGGTTTTCTTTAAAATATAAAAATAAAATTGGCTACACATGATTACATTTTCAAGAGTTAAAAGTATTTAGCTGAATTATATTTTGGGGGTGATTTTCTTGTTGCATTGCATTTTGAAGAACAGTGTTGATTTCTTTCCCCTTCTGGAGCCATTACCTCTTTTCTTTGATGGTCCTCAAAGAGAATTTGTAAAACTGTAAAAATTGTGCTTTTTGTTGGAAAGCAGTTTTTTGTTTTTGTTATTGTCATTGTTTTCTTGATTGTTTCTCTTCTAAAAGAATTTACTTTTATCTTAAAAAAAAAAAAAAAAAAACCAAAACCAAAACATGTTTACTGTTTCAGATAGCGTGACACAGGAAAGGAGGCCTCCCAAACTTTCCTTTATGTCAAGAGGTATTGGGGACAAAAGTTCATCCAGTCATAATAAACCAAAGGTTACAGGTATGGATTAATAGGATATAATTCTTGGTGACTGATGTACTGTCTTATTTGCCCAGGCATTAAGAAAGGTTATAAACTATCACGACTTAACGTATATTTAGACTTACTTCTTTCAGGCATTTTAAGTAGTAACTAAAATTTTACATACATGGTGTTGCCTAAGCCAAGAATTCCCCACTTTTTTTTCCTGGTAAGAAGTTTTCTGTCTTTAGCTGGCCCATAATCAATTGGCTTTTGGGATTCCCTGCTTGTAATCTTCTATATTTATAATTGCAACTGTATAGACTAGTGTTACATAGGATAAAGTGTACTGGAAGGTTAATTATGTGGATTTGGCTAACTAGATGTGGCAAAAATTAAATTCCAAACTGCTAAGGAGAAAAATATTGTCTCTTTTGCAGAAACTTCCTCAGAATACATGTGGAGTTCACAGTTCTTTTTCTGTTCACTTCCACATGCACCATAGGGTAATTTTTAAACAAGCCCAACAGTTCATTTAAAAGGCTATAAGAATTTTTGTTAACTCAGATGTCGGTTAGAAGAAGACTATTTTTTCCTCAGTTATCTAGTTGAGCAAAACTATTATGGCTTGTTTAGAAGGAAATTATACTTAAGGAAATATTTTATATGGTATTAAGTCCTGAGATTTAGGGTTAATTGCAGGATATATAGGTCTTTTTATATTAGCCTATAGATCTATAAAGGATAACTCAGATTTGTTACTGTCATATGTAAAAAATAACTACATATTTTCCTTATTCAAACTAAAAACTTTGGGGGATTGAGGATCTTGCTGTATTGTCCAGGCTGGCCCCAAATTCATGGGTCCAAATGATCCTTCTGCTTTAGCCTCCTGAGTTGTATGTGTGTGGCACTGCGTCTGGCACCAGATTTTCTTACGACACCAGTGTTAATTGTGTTATCGCAGTTCTGAGTTAATGGTGTAAAGTCTAGAGCTATTGACTGTAAGTTGAAAAAATAAAATCTGCTTTAGTATGGGTTCTGGAGACTCCACTGTTCTTTAGGATGGCCTATCTTCTTAACTGGTACTAGAGCAGGCAGTGTTTGGAAATGTCTGTGATACAGCTCTATAAACTTTTTGTTGCATTTGATAAATCTGATATAAAAGATTTAATGATGCCTTGTTTATTCTGGCATGAAGAAATCAAACAAGAAATTTGATGACCAACAATTCCAAAATGTTTAAACTTTAATTATTTTATTTTTATGTATTTATATTTTTTGTGGTGCTGTAAATTGAACCCAGGGGAGTTATATCCCCAGTGTAAATCTTAATCTTTTTATTAATTTTATGCATTGATTTATATACCTTTTTAAAAAGGATCTATTTTAAAAATGTATCACATACTAACATTTGAGAAATGAAATGTATTGTGTGATTTTTGTCTTTGCAAGCATCAGAGTGTACATACTTACACAAACCCAGGCTATGTGGTGTGATGCTTTTGTATATATAGTTTGTTATTGGCCAAAATGTTACTATGTGTTATAAATCTAATAGGTTGTGATTCTAATAGGTTAAATTTGTAAACTGATAGATTCTTCAAATGAAATTGGAGAATGGTGATGTTGATATCTAGAAATAAACTATGTATTTCTCAGAATACTTACATATTAAAAAAATAAACACTCTTTAACTTATTCCTATACCTCTTCCTGTACTGACTCTACAGGTAAGAAATCTTTTTTTCATGTTGCAAAAATGGCTGCCAAATTTTTATAAGAGGAAGACAATAATAAAATCTACTGTGTATCTGTACAACTGTTGGTTATATTTAAAGTTGTTGACATGATATGCGTATTAATTTACTGTTAAAATAAAAATGCTTTACAGCATATTGACTATATTTTTAAAAGGAACTTTTTTTGTTCCATAGGATCTACCTCAGACCCTGGAAACAGAAACAGATCTGAATTATTTTATACCTTAAATGGGTCTTCTGTTGACTCACAACCACAATCCAAATCAAAAAATACATGGTACATTGATGAAGGTAATGTATAATTCTAGTGTTCTCTATAGTGATTCTTTCCTTTTAATTCATCAGAGAAAAATGGCTTTTTCATCAGTATTTGGAAACAGAATTAATAGACTTAATATTGTATAAAATTTGAACTGCACTACTGCTAATAAAACATTTAAATGTGTTAGTAACTTGTACTTTTTTTAAAACTTATCTACTTAGGGTAGATCTGTAGAATCAATTGAATCATTTAAAGACTTTTCTGTGGGTCTATTTGACCTCTTTAATTTACTGTGTCCCATCATCTTATATATTGAATACCTATAACTTAAATTGAGCAATTTTATAAGTGTCCTATGAAATTTTGTAAGTTTTTATGGGTATCTTGTTATGTAGGATGATGGGATATAACGGAATTTATAGCACCTTCTTTAAAAAACTATCTTTCCTTGGTTCAGGGACATAATTTTCTGATTTATTCATTTTCTTGTTCATTTGTTTAGCAAATACTTACTGAGGCTTACTCTGTGCCAGGCATTCTCTAATGTTATAATGGTGGGGAACAAAGTAGATATGCTCCTGCCCTTTCTGAGTTTATGGTCAAATTGTTAAGATCGAAATTAATCAGACATAGAAACAGATGTAGGATTGCAGTGGTGACAGACATAGTGCTGTTGGAGGAAGGATCGGGATTTACCTAGGGGCGTGGTGTTTCTTTTAGGAAGCGGCATGTGCTTAGATTTACCAGAGGAACTGTGTGTAACATGGCGAAGGAGGATCCAAGAGCCTTTTAGGCAGAGGGAATAGCACAGATAAAGGCCTCAGGGAGAGTGGAGCTAGCCTTTGCTAAGGGCTAAAAAGAGCCAGAGTAGCTACACAGAGTCGGCATAGCACTGTAGGGATGGAAATGGAACTGCCAACAGGGCCGGGACACGTGGAGCCTGGGGTGTCCCACCAACAGGAAATGGAGAGCCACTGAAATTTTTTCAGCAACCTGTGGCATGACCAGGTTTGCCTTTTGGAGAGATTACCCAGGCTGCAGGCAGTAAATTGAAGTGGGGATAGGTCCCAGAAATTTGATTGTAGTCCGGGACTAGACTTGGAGAAGGGATGGGGAGAAAGTAGATGGAGATGTGGGAGTTGATCTGATAGGACTTACAGATGAGTGAAAGTAGGAGTTGAGGAAGGCGTGTCCTGGTGACTCCTAGTTTTCGGCTTGTGTACTTAGGTGACGAAGGCAGGTGAAAAATTGGATTTTGAGTATTTTGTATTGGAGGTGCCTTTTAAACTTACTGGAGGTGAGTCATCAAGTAGGCAGTGGGAAGTACAGGTCTGGAGGCTTAGGAAAGGAGCAAGTACTCGGGAAATAAATCTGTAGGCTGTCCTCATAGAGGGCGATTGAAGTCCTTTGAATGTATTGCCTCTGGAGAGTGAGGAGGGAGAGTATGGGTTGCAACTTAACCTTGAGGAGCTGAATGGTTCAGTGGGAGGAAAGTCAGTCATCAAAGGAGACGGAGAAAAGATGACCAGGGGCATGTGGGGAGAACCAGGAGCTGTGGTCTCAAAAGGCAAGGAACAAGCAGACAGTAGTGTTGAGTCCTGTGAGAGGGCATGAGAGGGCACCAGGAACCCCCATTGGATTTAGTCACCTGGAAGTCACTGATGACCTTGGTTCTGTTGTGTGGAAGAATTTCACAGGGTCCAGATTGGAGTGTGCTGAGAGCCTGGAGGGAGGAAATGAGACGTGAGGCCGATGGAGACTCGTGGAAGTTTGGGTTTCATCTGAACTGTTCATTCATTCATTCATTCATTCATTCATTCATTCATTCATGCATATTTTCTCCCTCTCCCTCCCTCCTATCAGTAAAGCCCAGTTGTCACCACGTGCCCTGGATTTCCCCTTCTTCACATCATTAGACTCTCCCCTGCTTCATTTCGGCAGCCCTGGCCTTAGTGCAGCTGCTTTGTTCCTGTCTGAATTCGCCTGGTGGTCTTCTAACTGGTTTCCCTGCCTCAGACTTGTTCCTTTTAAAGTTATTCTAACAGCAATGCCAGCTGCGTCGTCCTCACCACCCTCCTCTAGACGACCTTCTGGCCCACTGGCTGCTCGCCCCGAGTTGGACTGAGCACTCGGTACACATTGGTTTATCCTCAAAACCACTGTAAGAGGCGGGCGTTTTTGCTGCTGTCTTCTTCACACAGTCTCTATGAATGTTTCCCTGCTCTTAAAGATAAAACTCAAATTCCTTAGTTTGGCATGTCGGGCTCCTTGTGGTGTGGCTTCCGTCATTTTCCCTGCTCCGGATATTGGGATGGGTTGTGAGCCCTTGGGATATCTCTCTCTCTCTCTCTCTCTCTCTCTCTCTCTCTCTCTCTCTCTCT